CATACTGCAGTCCTGGCTTGGGTAGTCTGAGTGTCAACGTGGTCGCTTGTATTAAGTCTGCTTTGAGAGTTTCAAGGTTTTTATGGTGATGTTCAGTTATTTCAAAGTCGATCTGCTTCTTCAGCAGCTTATAGAATGGTCGATGAGTCTTTTTACTTGTTTCACTAATCTTGGCATGTTTATTTTGCTTAGAAATGCGGAAATTTTTGTTTCCTCTGGCGTAACTCCTTGTGGCGTTACTACATTTCCTAGGAATTTCATTCTTTGTGTTCCTATTTCGCATTTCTTAGGTGAAAGTTTTAAGCCTGATTTTCGGATGCATTCGAATATTTTCTTTAACGTGGGTATTAGTTCCTCATAATTATTCACCGCACTTCCTATATCATCCATGAATTGTGTGCACAAATCGGCTGCTAGGCATGGATCGAGGTAGTGACGGATGAATGAACTGAATCCCGTGACAGATTTACTTAGACCTTGGGCTAGGCATTTGTAGGCGTACGTCCGCGACCCGAAATTAAATGCCAAAAGTTGGACCGAAAGGTCATCTGCCATTTGCACACAATGGTATGCTTGTGAGCAGTCCAATTTAGTAAACAAACTCTTTCCGGCAAAGTGGTTTGATGCATCGGTCATGTTTGATATTGGAAAATTGCTATTTATATAGTCCGTTTTGATTGAATGATTGATGCGCCGGAGGTCAATCAACATCCGCAATTTTCCAGATGGCTTTCTATGTGCAAACAACGGACTACTGTATTTAGAATGTGACAGTGTTGTTATGAGTCCAAAGTAGTGCATCAGAGCTAGTTCAACCGTCAGTTCATTCCTTAGTTGGATGGGCGTAGGTGGTCCTTGAGTGTACAGTGGGCGTTGATGTTCGGGTGTCAACTTGATCTTCAGGTCGGAATTATAACCCACGTCAAATCTGTGTTTGGCAAATATATCCGCATATTCGATGAGCAAATGTTCTACTTCTGACCTTTGGTCATTTGTCAACACTGAATTCTCCCACTGAAAGTTACTCAAAAAGGTCAACCGGTCTTGAATGTTATTATTTGGTTCAATTTTCTCAAGACCTTGAAAGTAGAGGATTTGGTCATAAATTTCCCTTTGAATACTGGGAAGTGATTCTGGGTTAGGGCACGTTTCGGGCGTCGGGAACCAAAATTTCTCGTATTCGGGTGGTGGTTTTAGTTCTGAGCCTATTGAAGGGCTTGTTTTTTGCGAAATTATTTCATTGATTCCGAGTTCGACATTATCCGGCTGGTTCATTTTCGCTAATGCCAAAGTTTGCGGCTCGATCTGTATTAAATTTTCGTACTCGGTTAGCGTGAGTATCGAAAATTTTCCGATTTCGGTTTTAAAGGGCAACGTTAAGTTATGTTCCGTCATATTAAATGCTGTGACGTAAACGGTATTGTTTTTGGTAACTTCATTTATCGATGAGGTTACTGCCAATTCGCACTTTTCTTCTAGTTCTTGTGATGGAACTACGATTCCCGTCGTTTTTTCCATGTCAGTCAGAATATCTTGCAATTGGCATTCGATTATGATTGTTTGATGAGGTGCAATCATTTGTTTCTTAGTGAGAACAAGAGGGAATTTTTTCACTCGGTTAGTGCATCTAGGTGCATTCACGGGTTTTATATCGTTGATTTGGAGTGTCAAGTCTGGAAAGTGAAGTAGATTGTATTTTGAGCAGACATGTATATGGTGTTTTTTAAAGAAAGGGTTTCCCAGGATCGTTGAATTCGCTGAATTCAGCACTAGGAACGTTTCCGTAAAGTTCATACCTGCCATACAGAATTCAATGGTTACTTCAGTTTCAATTGACACCAGTTGGCCTCCTGCCATTCGCACTTGCTTGAGGCTTGATTTTGCCGTTTTATAGGGTGCGAATAGTGTTTTTTCGTTTTTAATTTCATCGAATGTTTGTTTCGAAATTACGTTTGCACATGCTCCTGTGTCAATCAGAACTCTTCTTTGGAGGCTTGGCGCTAATCTTATTTTCATATAAGTTAGCACTGTTCCTTCGGTTGGGATGACTGCGTACAGATCAATAATTTCATCGTCTTGTACATCTTGAATATTTGATTTGCGTGATTTTCGCAATTTACGTGATTTTTGTGATTTAGATGAATTGACTGACTGACTTTGTGGCTGAATTAGTTTTTTGGTTCATTTGGAACGGGAAATTCTGTTGCTGCTGTCCCTGTGGCTTGGGTTTGTACCAACATTGGCTGATAGTATGGCCAAACTTCCCGCAGTGGTCACAGAACTTTGATCCAGTGCGTACTGCTGATGTACTAGGATTCTGAGTGTGCACCTGCTGCATCATTGGTTGCGAGGCTTGTTGGGCAAACGGGTTGTTCTGTTGTGGCTGCGTGGCTATCGCTTGTTGCTGTTGTTGAGGGTACATCTGGTTCGGAGAGAATTGGACATTCTGTTGTGTATGAGGATAGTTCTGGCTTTGTTGGAACTGTGGGTTCGGTTGAATTCCAGGTATCTGTGGGGGAAACTGGAACATTTGTGGGAGGTACTGCAAATTTTGGAATCCAGGGAAACCTTGGTTTCCGTATCCCCCATCAATTCTCTGCTGTCCGTTCTTTTTTTCTTTACCAAATCTACCCCTTCTTTGATTGTATCCTTGTTGTCCATTCCCTTGATATCCATTCCATTGATTAGGGCCAGATGTATTGTTCTGGTTTGGGCTTTGTCCAGTCCCTTGGCTTTGTGCAATATTTCCGTGATTTTGTTGTTGTTGAGTTTGTTTATTATTCCCACCAGTGTTTTGGCTATTCAGTTGAGAGCTCTGCTGGGTTTTTCTGTTGTCACCTTGTGGCCGTGACTGGATCGTTTTTCTCTGATCCGATAGCTCACTACGGACTTCGTTGAGTTGTTTCTCAATTTGTTCCTGGGCTGTTGTTAGTTTTGACAACGCACTGATTAGGTTGTGAGAAACTGTATCTCCAATTTCATTGAAACTATCTTCTGGGTAATCCTCATTACGACAGACGTCTCTAATTGTCATTTGTTTGCGTGCCAGGTTGCAAAGTTCTTGTACTGTTGTCGCAGCTGGTTGTTCCATCATCTTCGAACGGAGCCAGTTGGGCATGCCTTTTATAAAAAGACGTTTAATCTGGTTGTTCCTATGATCATTTTGTGCGTCAAGTCGTTCTTGACGTTGCGCCGTCTCTCCATGGAAACGCGCTGCGTCTGCATCAGCTGCTGCGCCTACTAGTGCCGCATCGAGTGGGGCTACGGCAGGTAGATCCGGTGTCGGGTAGGCTCGTTGTGCCTTTTTTGTGAGGTTTACCAGGAAATTCTCTGGTGAGTCTCGCTTGATATCAAACTTTGATTGTTCAAGTTTTAGCACGTGGACCTCTTGCAATTGAGGGTTGCAAAAATGCTCGCGTAGTGCCGCTAGACTAAGAGGTACGTCGGCTCTTGTTAGTGCTGGCAGTGTTTGGTAGAATCGCAGAGCGCTATCTCGCAGGTGCAACTGTAGAAAATTCGCTTGCTGAGCATTTGCGATTCCCGCAACTCCAACGTATCCTTGGAAGAGCTGTTCGAATTGGGCGAAATCTTCGTTATCGCTTCCGCCAAAATGTTCGACTGAGATTTGAGCGTGCGCCATCTTATCACAGTTATATGATTGTCAAGTCTGATTCAAAATTGATTTCAGATGAATCAGTTGCTATTATATAGTGGAAACAATTAATGCCTAGTGGGTACTTAAAATTTAATGACGCAATTATCGTCTTTGAGAAAATATATAGAGTAGCTCGTACTATGATTAGTTACGAGTAGGAGTTAATTAACTCTTGTTTCTATATTTTAAACTATCTACTTTTTAAGTTAACTTGTCTTGCGGCTTTAATATTATTCCACTATTTTTTTTTGAAATTTGGTTAGGATTTAAGCACTGGATAGGTTTTCAGGCGGTTCTCATGGATGATTTCAAATGACTAGTTTCAAATGAGCACTCATCAATTTTACTTTAAGCACCGAGAGTTTTAAGTTTCAACTAACTGTTTTTGTACACTGTATCACTTTCCTGGAGAAGTGTAGTAGTTGTCATCAACACAAAACAGTTGAAGTTTCCTTTTGCCCCTTGCTGTCGTCTCTCACTGGCTGAAGTCAGTTTTTGTTTTTGCCCCGCTTTTTTCTGTTTGAGCAAGTTACTGCCGTGATCTTCTTTTCAGCTTTGTGGCTTTTGGAGTCGTCTTGTGTTGGATGTCGTCTTGTTTTCACTCTTAATTTGCAATCAGCTTCAGCTTGTCTTGAAAGGTTGGTAACATCATCCCACTCCTGTCACCATGTTATATAGCGTGTCTTGCTATGATAATTAATGATTAGAAATGAGGAATTGTGTTTGAGAGTAATAAAGGGATGCGCGGTCTAGGCTCTATATCTTCGACTCAGGGATGTGCTTCGTGATGTCTACCTCCTTCTCAGCTGAGTCTAAGCTGTTTGATTTATAAGAGTGAGGATTAATCTTTTAATTACTATTTTTGAGCTGTTTTACTGTAATGGCTCTCTCTCAATTAATGATTCAATTAATTTCTCATTGATTGTTTCCATTAAGTAAATATGAGTTTAACACTTTGTCATTGACATATAATGGCATTGATATTTAAGTCTAATTCGCACCAATTATGGTAATTAATAATGAGTAACTAACATAGGCGTGAAGCGCTATGTGACAAATAGGTCTTATTTTCTTCATAAACAATGACTTTAAGGATTAGCCCAGAGGAATTTGGCGCTACTATCTTATAATTTGCCTGGACTCTTACAAAAGAGTCCGTGTAACTTTTAAACCCTTATATTCAGTCACTTGTTTCTACCCGGGGTCTTGAAGTGTTCTCGGTTGCTTTTAAGAAGTCCATTCTCAAAAAAAAAATCTTTTTTTTGTAATACCATGAATACATGCAGATAACAAAGTTGTTTCAAACTATACATGTATCAATGATTTGAACTATCGAACATGATCATTTTTAAAGCCTGAACTTGATTATGATGCAAGAAGATTGAGAGAAGTAGAGAACTGCCATTTCATATTCAGTTTCAACAAAACTAGAATGCTAACTTGGCGATAGATTTAGATACCTGACCCGACCTGAATTCAACTCATTTGTTGATCTCACTTAAGAATACCCACAGGCTCCTCATATTTTAGTCATTTGTGCGCACCTGATTGCAGATTACCATGCCATTCGCGATAAATTTTCCAGCAGATATTTCGGACAGGTGTTATTTAGTCGATAACAAACCTATGTTCCAGAGTAAAATCGAAGGAAATTAACAGTGTAGGTCAAAAACTCAAATCTTCTTTCAAACTTCTGTCCATTTTTGAAACAGAAAGGTTAGTATGTTTAAAAATTTGAGCGACCGTCCTTGATCTAGTCTTGTAATTAAAGCTACTAATAGCTGGCAATGAATTTCTTGCGAACTATATCTATCGCCGCTAGCATTAATCAAATCTCAAAACAATCGTCGTATCATAACTTGCTCTTGGTTGAGTAATTGGAACTAGTAAGTAGGTTTCCCACACTGAATACATTGGTGGGGTCCACTTGTTTCTTCACAGCTCTGAACATCTCCACTCCCACATCCCCATTCGATTTTTTCAGCCAACGCTCTCTCAGTTTACCCACTAAACAACACCCAAAATAGTACATTTTTAAAACCAAACTCCCCTTTTTAGCGCCCAGCCCCACCCATTTCAGGGCCTTCCTGTGAAGGGGGAGTGTCGTCTAATTTTTCATAGCCATTCCCACCATGAGGAGGCAGATGACATTGGAAACCCTGCGCCTGTGACTAAACCCACTGAACACGATCACGTGGCTCTAAATATTAATTGACTATGACAACGAAAAAATCCATTGTTTACAATTTTCTTTAAAAAACTGTATGATGCTTTGCTTATTCAGATTAAAAGTTTCTAGCCGTCATTAAAAGTCTTTTGCGTCATTCATTAGACACCTCTTCCGCTCATAGGAAGGAATTTTTCGCACTTCTTTGAATTTCAGATATGTACTTCGCTATCATCGATATTAGTTCCGCGGAGACTTCAATTCTTAGAATTTCCGCTTCGTCTATACTTTCATCGAAATGGTTATTAGTCTTTACAAAAGCTGAAGCCACTTAAAGTTTATATGCGTCATTTTCATCTGAACTTTTCAGTGATGTCCATTTAAACCTACAATCGTGTTCATTCAACTGTCATTTACAATTCACTATAAAATACCAAGCGAAGAAAAATTGATTTGATGGCATTTTTATTTAAGTTACAATTTAATTGGAAATAATTGAAAATGCACAAATGAGACAGATTTGAACTCTTTAAACTATTTAAAAATATTTAATTGTAGGAGAATTTTAAACTTATTTCATAGACCAATTTAAGTTCAATTATATTTTATCTATTTGGACATTAATAGTACTTTCATCAACTTATGAATGCACTTTTCAATTCTATGCGCAATAAAACCGTATGATGTCACAACTAAAAACTTTACCTCCATGGTGATGTGAGAGGGATCCCCCATTATCCAGAATTTCTTCTCTGGCTGCAGTTTCAATGTCATCGTAGAGCGCCAGGGGGTCTTTCAGTCCCCTCCCATTGAAGCCAAAATAGATGTATATACAGGCCCCCACGTCGTATATTTGGGTCACTCTAGACAAAAACAGGACTTTCTTATTTCAATAAGAAAGTTTGAAGCAATTAATAAAATTTCTAACCTCAGATTAATTTGAAAAGTGCCTCTTCCATTAACAAAACATAGTAAATTTTATGTTTAAATTGGCGAGTTAAATTGAATGCCTATTTTCCGAAATAACTTGCGAAAGTAAAATTTCCTCACAAAAACGGCGATGAAACCTAGCCGTAATTTTATTTGCTATAATCAGGGGCGGATTTAGGGGGGAGAGGGCGGACGCCCCCCACCCCCCATCACAGGAATTCGACTCCCTGCCGACCAAAAGGATCCCCTTTGGTAATTTTTAAAACTTTTCTAAAGGCGCCAATATATACTAATTTTGAGGGGGGAGCGCGCGCCGAAAAAACGCATTTTTTTTGTCAAAATTTTCCAAAAATTGCCTAAAACGCCCTTTTTGACCTGTTTTTTCAAAATTTTGCCTGCGGCCCAGAAAGTTTTGCCAAAACAGGGACTAAACTAAGCTTAGGGAGAGCTCGAAAAATCAATCTGGTCGACCTAAAAAAAAGGTCGACAAAAATTTCGAAAACTTTTTGAAAATCTGCGCCCCCTCGAGAAAATCCTAGATCCGCCCCTGGTTTCCTGGTTATAATTATGAGAGATCAAAAAAAATACCTGCAAGATATGAATGGGGGAAATCGGATTCCTTTGATCTTGCACTCGAGTCTGATCCGCTCTTTCACATTGCGACACAAGTCTGTCACCCGATTCCAGGGACAGGACGTCTCCATAGATTCTGCCCATATATGATAGTCTAGACAGACATCTCGCAGGTATGCGATCAGAAAAGTGAGAAGGTAACCCCGTTGACCACTTTCTTCTCCAGCATAGATTGCCCTATATTGTACAAAAATGAATCAAGATAGTAACAAATAAAGGAAAATTAAAACACAGATTGCCATTCAGCGATCCTTCTTAAGGCCTGAGCTCAATCTTAGTAAAAACCATCCGTGCTGTTCTTAACGTCTCAGCTTAATCTTAGTAAAATCTATGTTTGCTGCATTTCAACCCACAGCAACTATCGTTGGTGCTAGATTTCAACCCACAAAATAGCAAAGAGATTTAATTTGGGTTTTTTATGAAGAAGGCAGCATTTCGCTTGTTTTATTTTGGCCTTTGCCTCAATGGATAAATTGACATTGGCTCAAAAATGGAAAACTAATTTGATTTTTTAAGTTTCGATATTCTCAATAATTTCGGGATGCCACGTGAACAAATCTCGGCACAGGAGACCAAACTCACCCATATTTCTCAGACATTCCTCTTATTTTCTTCTCGTGAGACAGCACATCCTGAAAACCATACTTCATTGAACTAACACTAAGTTTAATTCCAAACATTGAAGCTCATACATAATTGCTTCAGAACTGACCTCTTTATCGCCTTCGAACAGTAACGTGCATAGTGTCATCTCGTTCTCGTCAAAAGATTTCCACTGAAACAGAGCCAGTTAGTTCTGAACACGCCTTATAGAATGAAAAATAGTTTCTCATCAACATAAGAAAAAGTATTTTCTCATCAAAATAAGAAAATCAATATGAGTATTTCTCATCAACATCAGAAAAATCAGCTCTCAAATCAGTAGCTGAATGAATGTAATATGCTAATTAATATTCCATCTTTTTCGATAAAGAACTTTGCAAAAACAAGTTGGAGCCGAATGAACAGAATGCAATGTAGACGTACCTTGAGAACGTACCACTTGTTAATGAAGTCTTTGAGGGATGCAAATGCGGATGCCACTGGCTGTTTGAGAGACATTCCGAATCTGAACTGCTCATTATCTACCAGACGGATAGAAGAAGGCGCACATCTCTAAAGTAAATACAACAATTTGTTTACATAGGCTTGTATTTTTGGCAGCAAAAAAAAACGTATTTGAAAAAAAAACAGCCAACAGACAGTTACAAAAGAGTCAATGAATTTCAAGAACAAATTATGATTGACACTTGAGAAATAGGTAAATTTTTTATTCCACTGGTAAATCTGCCAATTAAAATCCACTTCCGAAAGTTCAAGTCAATCACGTTTTCGGTTACCTTTACACTCTTGCTGTTCTATAGTGGTGTTTGCCTTCGTTTAACAAAGGAAGTGAGGGAACTTAAAAAATAATCAAAAACCAAATCGCGAAAAATCAAATTTGAGGACGAACAAATGTTAAGACTTTTCCTGAAAAAAGGTAACAATCCCACGAGTCTTCACTACGTTCACCGTCACTTAATCAATTGGAGCTTTCACAATGAACGTCCAAACATGACAATTACATTACCGAACTTCCCAGGACGAGATTCCCAAAGTTTTCTTTTATATCAATATTCTTGATTATGTTTAGGCAGCTGAAAAATAGTATTCGTTGCCACCTACATTCTTTGCAACTTCTCGCATGAACTTGACTCCATCCTCGAAGTTTTTGAACAGAAGTGCTCCATATTTGGTGAACTGAGGTAGTGGTCTGATCTTCAAGGTCACTTCCGTTACAATGCCAAGAGTACCTAGATTTCACACGAGGATGAACATGTCTTTCAGTAGCAAAATTTTCATCGAAACGTTTCGTAAACTCTAAGGTGAGCCGTCAACAAATACAATAGATAATTACCTTCAGATCCAAGAACAAAATGATGAATATCCGGTCCCACAGACGAGCGTGGTGCCTGAACGTCATATTCTTGTTTAATATCATTTCTCCGAAATATTCAATAAAAAATAGAACAAATCATACTTGGTAGTTTTTCTGGAACTTTCCGACAGGTGTTATAATGGCAACATTGACTATCTTAACAAAACAAAATTCCTCAAATAATTCGGAAGTTTTATCAAAAATTATGTTCAAAGAAAATTTACTAACTAGATCTTCGATGTTTCCGTATGTGTTTTTCTTCATGCCTGATGCTCTCGTTGAGACCCAGCCACCGAGAGTCGAAAACTCAAATGAGTCGGGTTCGTGTCCAACAGTGTAGCCTCGTTTCCTCAGCTAAAAAATCTCATCATCTAAATTATGAAACATTTAAACTAATTTCATTGTAGGGCGCGGTAAAGATGAGAACAATTACGTCGTTTTCTAAGTCCAGTCCAGTAATTCCACTCTGGAACCTAGCCAGCAAGTTATCCTCGTCAATCCACACTATTTTATTCTAAAATAATTATTAATACATTCTTTTGAAAGAACGATAGCAGGTTGAAGTGCAAGAAGCATTGAATGTTCAGACAACAGAAATCCAAGTGAAGCTAAGCTGTAAATTAAAAGAGAAAACAATCAATATTATCTCTTTGGAACACAAACGGTTGTTATGTAGTGTGGCTAAAAGTCCGTTGGCTTAAGGTCCGATTCACGACTGAACGGGCTTTATACGATAATGAACTTCGATGGCTAAGAGCGGAATTTGTGGTCCCATTAATTAGAACATGACAACACAGAGGCGAGGCGGAGCTTCGTCACACTTGCAATGCAAAATCATATTGCGTTACAAGATCATGAATGGAAAAAAGACATAAGTCAAAAAAAATCTGAAAAATAAGTTGATTGAAGAATTACTGGAAAAAAATTGAAAAATTACAGCTACAAAAACTTCATGTTTGTATCGGATGAAGTTCAGAAACAGCCTTTAAAAAATTGTAATTCATTTACGAAGCGGCAGCAAAGGAAGGCGACAAACTTTGGCTCGAAATCTGTTGAGCCGCAAACAAAACTGTTATCATAGAAAAATTCATCAACTTTAATAGTTTTTAAGACCCATCCAAACTGAAACATATATCCACATAAGGATATATTTTGCTGTCGAAATTACGCAATATAAGTTGACTAAATCGATATAACAAAAACGGAAAAAAACTCAAAAGCCAGACTTGGTAAATTTACAAAGTAAAGAACTTTGAGTTACAGTAAAAAACTGCTCAAATGTGAACAAAACCCATGCTTTAAAAAGCAAGCCAATCAAAACCATAACAAATAAAAAATTGGCGTTTCAAAAAAAACGGAAAATGAACCGACAGAAACTACGACGAAAACCACGAACCTGAAAAAAAAACCGAAACATTTTTTTTGAAAATATAATTAAAAGAAACGGGCTTTAACTAATTACTGCTTAAACGATAGTAGTTTTATTCAAATTTCCACTTCCGATACAACATAAAACTACTAAAATGTATTTTTTTAAAATAGAAAAAAAACACTTCAAAAACGGCAACTAAAAAAATCAAATGTCGCCTGGAATCATGTTCAAATTGCGGAAAACTCGTCCAAAAACACAATCAACCGCAATTAAAGAAAAAAAAAGCGGCAACTGAGCCGACGAAACAAATAACTTCCCGTGGAACCGAAAATATTATTGTTGTCAGAATTCTATTCTAAGAATTTGAGCATTTTGGGCGATCCGGAATGAAGCATAAAACTTATGCTTCCTTAGAAATGACCACAAATTAGATCACTCAGCTGATTAAATATAAGCCGCAATCATTTATGCCGAATAAAGATTTTAAGTGAAAAAAAAACTAAAACAGTAAAACAAGGCTAAAAAAATAGCAAGAGTAATTCTAAAGCATTAAAAACAACTTCATTGAAAATAGCGTATAAAAAATCAATTCTACGATGTGGTAATTAAGCCGAAAAACTGAAGGCCGTCTTTTTGGAAAAGAATATTTCCAGTTTGAAAAAAAATTTGTCAGATTCGAACCCACGACCTTTGCCGTCCCAATCGTTTTCACCTCAAGGCAAAGGGCCGGAAACGCATAGAAGTTTGAAGATACAAGTGATTCTATATTCCGGTTCTATAGTCAGGTTAATAACGCTATAAAGTCTATTATATTCCGGTTTAATAACGCTTGCTAATCGTAAACGTAAAGAAATCGACCACGTGAGAAGATGTATGAATCCTGTGAACAAGGTTATTTACGGGAAAAAGTCTAGTACTCGATTGCAATACCCTTGCTCATCGCAAGGGCAAAGGCCCTTTTCTGCAAAAAAAAACAGGCTTAAAATAAAGTTTTGGGGACTTTTTTGACGATCAAACAATGGAACACCCTCCCCCTTCAAAATTTGCAAGTTTTATCGCCGAACATGGATGTTGGTCGTATAAACCTGAAGAGGGAGGGGGGCTTTGCGTGGTCAGTGAGCCGAATTTTTGATAGGGCCGCCTCCTTCTCCTAATTCTTAGATCGCTGCTGTCTAATTCAAACATACGACACTGACCATTTGTGAGGTGTCGACAGAGCACAACATGCGCTCTTCCCTTCCCATCTGCAGAGCCAAGGAGACATTGGTGCCTCCCCCGAATGGGAGAAGACTGACGTCGAACTTCTTGGCTGCCTCCACTATCTTGATCACGTCAGCCTCATTGCCTGAGCACAGTAACAACTCACATATAAAAAATAGATCTTTTTTTTTTTCAAAACATACTTCATGGCTAACTTTTATTATAGATCTTTTTCTACTAAATAGATTTTCAAATCACGGAGGAGCTACCAAAAAAATTAGCACCAGCATTCGGGAAAAACGAGAAGATCTACCAACTTAAATCTTGATTGGCAATTATGGAGAACTGAAAATAAGCTAGCGACAACAAGAGTTGGAGCTGCAATCGACGATATATCTGCACACAGCTATCAAAAGCAACACTACTTTCATTGGCGAGCATGACGAGGTTTAACGTATTTTTTTGTTGCTTTAGCTACATAGTGGCCCTCGATAGATGACCTTGTGTAGGTCGAATGGAATTCGCGCGTCCGCCTCCCGGATGCACAGAGTCATCGATTCTCTTAATTAAACTTTTTATCGAAAATCGATACTTCAGTGCTGTTTTCCTAGTAAATCGACATTGATCTGGAATTATAGGATAACACAGTATCTAGCATTTTGCCATATTTGACACAGTGCTGTTCTGTTAGCAACTTCAGAACATTTTTAGCGTCTCAAGTCGCAAAGCCATATTACACTTGAACAGAATCTTTGACATGAAGTGCTATCAAATACTCAAACTTACATTCTCATAGGGAACACCTCACTACTTATCATGCGCTTCCACATATGCGTAAAAAATTATTACACTTGAACAGAATCTTTGACATGAAGTGCTATCAAATACTCAAACTTACATTCTCATAGGGAACACCTCACTACTTATCATGCGCTTCCACATATGCGTAAAAAATTATTACACTTGAACAGAATCATTGACATGAAGTGCTATCAAATACTCAAACTTACATTCTCATAGGGAACACCTCACTACTTATCATGCGCTTCCACATATGCGTAAAAAATTATTACACTTGAACAGAATCATTGACATGAAGTGCTATCAAATACTCAAACTTACATTCTCATAGGGAACACCTCACTACTTATCATGCGCTTCCACATATGCGTAAAAAATTATTACACTTGAACAGAATCTTTGACATGAAGTGCTATCAAATACTCAAACTTACATTCTCATAGGGAACACCTCACTACTTATCATGCGCTTCCACATATGCGTAAAAAATTATTACACTTGAACAGAATCTTTGACATGAAGTGCTATCAAATACTCAAACTTACATTCTCATAGGGAACACCTCACTACTTATCATGCGCTTCCACATATGCGTAAAAAATTATTACACTTGAACAGAATCATTGACATGAAGTGCTATCAAATACTCAAACTTACATTCTCATAGGGAACACCTCACTACTTATCATGCGCTTCCACATATGCGTAAAAAATTATTACACTTGAACAGAATCTTTGACATGAAGTGCTATCAAATACTCAAACTTACATTCTCATAGGGAACACCTCACTACTTATCATGCGCTTCCACATATGCGTAAAAAATTATTACACTTGAACAGAATCTTTGACATGAAGTGCTATCAAATACTCAAACTTACATTCTCATAGGGAACACCTCACTACTTATCATGCGCTTCCACATATGCGTAAAAAATTATTACACTTGAACAGAATCTTTGACATGAAGTGCTATCAAATACTCAAACTTACATTCTCATAGGGAACACCTCACTACTTATCATGCGCTTCCACATATGCGTAAAAAATTATTACACTTGAACAGAATCATTGACATGAAGTGCTATCAAATACTCAAACTTACATTCTCATAGGGAACACCTCACTACTTATCATGCGCTTCCACATATGCGTAAAAAATTATTACACTTGAACAGAATCTTTGACTTGAAGTGCTATCAAATACTCAAACTTACATTCTCATAGGGAACACCTCACTACTTATCATGCGCTTCCACATATGCGTAAAAAATTATTACACTTGAACAGAATCTTTGACATGAAGTGCTATCAAATACTCAAACTTACATTCTCATAGGGAACACCTCACTGCTTTTCATGCGCTTCCACATATGCGTAAAAAATTATTACACTTGAACAGAATCTTTGACATGAAGTGCTATCAAATACTCAAACTTACATTCTCATAGGGAACACCTCACTACTTATCATGCGCTTCCACATATGCGTAAAAAATTATTACACTTGAACAGAATCTTTGACATGAAGTGCTATCAAATACTCAAACTTACATTCTCATAGGGAACACCTCACTACTTATCATGCGCTTCCACATATGCGTAAAAAATTATTACACTTGAACAGAATCATTGACATGAAGTGCTATCAAATACTCAAACTTACATTCTCATAGGGAACACCTCACTGCTTTTCATGCGCTTCCACATATGCGTAAAAAATTATTTAGACACAATGAATCGCTTCCTGTAAATGATACATTTCATATTTATTGATGGAAATGAACCTACTTGGCCACAAAACAGCATCCACTACTCTTTCAGGCAACATTCCCAGTCTGAGAGCGCCAATCTCTTGCACACAGTGACCTAAAACACACTCAAACACTACCATCACTAATTTGTCATTACCTGTCGCAAATGAGAAACCAATTCCTTTTTGTCTATTTTCCAACAACTAACCCCCACTACGCCTCATGTTTAGATTTCATTTATAACAAACGTTCTCATAATGATCATAAAATCACGTCCAAGTGAATTCAAAATAAACCAATTGTAATAAGAGGGTGGGGCGGGGAAAAGATCACTTATATTTAGTAGAGAATACTTGCCATGGCTTCTGAAAAGTCGTTCCATTGGGCAGAATGAAATGTGGAAAGAAGAGCTCTCGAGGAACTCACAGAACTCCTTCTGCTTGATTGGCGTCGGCACATCTTCGGGTTTAATTTCCGCCTAAATGTACACCCATGCTAATAAACAGCTTTTATACTCAAGACTTTCATACTCAATAAAAACTTTTATACTCATGACTAACCAAACTTTTTGTCCCCTTTTACTCCTTTTTAGACTCCACTTTTTACCTCTTGTTTTCCAGTCTTTTTCGAACAATATTATGGAGGGGAAGTAAAAGGGGACATTTTCCTAGGTTTGTTTTGTCTTTTTTATAGCTGATGTTCAACCTCTAACTACTTTTTCAGCCCTCGCAGTCATGACTTGGAAAATGTCAATTGGTAACAATTAATTGCAATTGATTGGAGTTTTACATATCATGGTAATTTCTGTTATATGATGGAAGTGAAATTGCTTCTGAGGACAGATTTTATCATGGCTTGCGTTTGGTGACTTTCGACAGAGTCGAATGCCAATGAATTTCGAGATGCAGCTATTTCTGAACGTAAACTATCAATTTTTGTGATAAAAAAACGCTTCTAAAGCCATAAACGTTATCTGGACTATACTTATTTAATTGATAATTGACAAAGATGGAGAAACCAATTCATTTAATTGACATAAATTTCAAGTAATTGCTGTTTTAGCTCCCAACTTATTTTTCACAAAGTCTCGCGGTTACCCCTGCTCGCGGTTACCCAAAATAAGAAAAAAAATTTTTAGTAGTTCTGTTGCTGAATAAAAATCATATAATTTTTAACAACAATTAAAAAGCTCGTAAATTTCTACGCTATTTAGATATCAAACCTCTACTATCTTTGAATATGCGATAAATTAGATTTAATACCCTGGGAGGTGCTGGGTTATCTGGACTAGCTTGGACGACATCTATCATGAAGTTCTTCAAATTTGGCACTTCGCCCTTCAGAGGATACCTGCAGAGAAACAGAAAAATACACTTGATTTCATTTTAAAAAAATCGGCTGATAACTTATCTTCAATAAAAAACAATCGGCAAGTAGCACAGAATGTTCCTCCTATAGTCTTTTAAAAAATACAAATTTTTTTTTATTGAATTAGTGTGGTTTTTTCTGTGTGGTTTGATAAAAAATAGATAAACAAACAAATAGAAAAGTAACAAAAATAGAAATAAGGCGAATGCGACATTCATAGTCAAATAGGCCAATTTGAAAACAGTTTTTGTATGAAAATGGCCTCAAACTAACAACAAATCGTAAAAACAAGTTAAAAAGTTTTCACACTTTCTAATTTTTTGCGAAAATTTTTTGATTCCCAAAATGGCGCTAAAAAACTCAGAAAACTAAATTTACTCCAGTGAAACTAAGTTTTCACGGCTTAATTTAAGCTTAAATAAGCTATGGTAAGCCTGCACGCTCACCTTATTAGCTCGACCAAAAATCGAACATTTCAAACCGGTTTTTCTCGACACTGGGAAATTTTTTCGAAGTTTTTAAATGTCGTTCGAATCACGACTGAAAAGGCTTCAAAATGATATATCACTCGACCCATTCCGATGATTATTTGTGGTATATGCTTTAGCGTCGAAAACAAAAAGAAACCTAAAACACACCCGAATAAAAAGTTACCCACATTTTTCAAATGGTCGGAACAATAAATTGCTTTCATTTATGCTTATTCTTTTAAGAAGGTCATAGTATTTAAATTTTGCAAAATTTAACTTTCATACATAACTACATAGAGTATTCTAGTATAAATAAATGCACTTCATCAAAAAATTATGCATGACAAAACAGAAATAGTTATAACAACCTGTCGCCTTGAAAAGCGAATGATTGGTTTTCATTGAGGTAGAATCCACAGTCCTTATAGCCCCATCTATCCAACTGCAACTCTTCTAGTTTCTGACGGGGAAGGGGCGAGTCGCGAGTGAACTCCGCCCTAGAATCCAAAGTGGACATATTTAAAAATCAGTTGCGATCTGAAATAACAACAAGCACAATATCGATTCACACTTCTTAAACATCAAATAAACGAGGTGTTATCGCTCAACTACACTTCATACTACGCTGAATTATCATTAATTTTCTGAAGGCTCAAGCAATTACGACTACCTTCGCGCCTTCATTTTTACAAATAGGATCGATCGGATACATTTAAGCGAAGCGCACCAAGAAACCTGAACGGAAACGCATATATGCTGAACAAACCATTTGGCAAAACAATAGTTTTTGAGGCAATAGTTAATACATATATTGAAAAATACGTGGAAAAAGCAAAAAAAAAACAGGTGAATACGTTTTGTCTGCGTGAAAAAGCCGTAAGCCAGCGTGAAAAAGCTGTCATGAAAAAACTCATTCACTATCCAGCGACCGAATGGTCCATTTAGTGTCACCTCTAGTTCAATGATGACTTTCAAGTGTTTAATCTGATGTGTTTAATCTGATCACAGAAATTGATTCTTTGTTTCTCTTTCCATGATCAATCCAAAACCCACTTAGCTTGAAAGAAGTTAAATGCAAGCAAATTACGCCTTTTGAGCGGTTAATTTTAAAGTTTCAATTCCCTGAGCAGCTAAGCTGCCCGCAAATAGGAGGGGGATAAGAGGTGCCAGGACAAAATGATTTAGAAAAACGAGATGAGCTCACGACTTGTTTTCAAAAACGTACATTGAAAGGGATATGATTGGCCGAAAAACAGGCTTTCCAATTTCTTTATGCAACTTTTATCAAAATGCTGTGTGTGATCCAGTCCGAACAACAGATGCAGTGGGTGGCATCTAGGTGTTACCACTTGTTTTAAGGCAGCGGTAACACCAAGAATAAATTCAACTGGATTCCTATAACCAAAAACTCAATATCTTGAAGGTATCAAGTGATACTACCAACTTATCTAGGAAAAAGTACCGTGATCTGATTGAAAAAATTCAACAGATAACTAGTTCAGACAAAGACTCCAACATTTTAAATAATATACGTTCACCTGCTCAGTTAAAATATTAAATTATGTTTAAGTTTCTGCCTATTTTTTATTTAAATTAAATTAGTTCTTTCAAACTTTTTGTAGACGTCTCCTTGCATCCTCCCGGAGAACGCCGAAAATGCAATACTACGACTTGTATTCGAAAATGCGGTCTCTAGAAATTTGATCCCAGAGCAATTTACCTTATTTAAGGAAAACTAGGTTGCGGCCTGTTGACACTTTTTCGCTAGACGCAATACTTGAAACGATTCCTATAATCAACCGACAGATTTTGGCAGATTTTGTTTTGAATAATTTGAAAACCTTTTCAAGTTCGTTTGTAGTCTATTTTATTTTGAAGTTTGAGTTTTAACTTGAAGGCCAAGTGATTAGCAAGGTCATTTATGTTCAAAAATGTGCAGCAAAAATGTTGTGGTTTCTTTGATTTTCACCAACGCTTTGCTTTTGATTTGATTGGTTAACCGCCTTAATTCGTTTTTCTTTGTTTATTTATTATGGTATCTTAATAAACGAAAAATAGCACAAATTCCTTGAAATAAACAAAAAAGTGCATGCCCGGAGCAGCCGAATTCCTTTCAAACAGCTAGTTTTCAGGCTAAGAAAAACTGATTAAGGCTAGTCATGGCAAAGAAGGAAAATGCTCTTCTTCAGTCTTTTAGATGAGATATGAAATTTCCGTTTACGGTATTTCCGTAGAAGAGATATGAAAATCCATCCAGCTTATTTTGCTTAATATCCGATTAAATCTTGAAAAATGAACAGAATCCACCAAAGTTCCGTTTCTCTAAAATGAAATTGGGTGCAAAAATCAGCTAATTTTGCCATTGGATTTCTGGTTATATTTTAAGCAACTGTTCAGAAGAAGTGATTTTTCTCTCAAATCAGACCGATTCGCATAAAAGTATTGTAGCTGGAAAATTACTGTACAAAAACTTACTGTACAAACTTACTGTACAAAAACAATAATTCCGAAAACCAACCAATTTCGGATGAAACAATTAAGCGAGTGAAACTATTACACCAATAATATTTTTAAAAAGACTGCTGTGCATTAGAAATTCTAAAGGATCAATGAGACGAAGTATCCTGAAGGCGAAAAAAGGGGAAACAATTTTATGATCTGAGATAAAATGGAATATTCCAAAAAATTGAAGTGGGTAATAAGAAAATTGTTTCACTCTAGACGACAATATCTTTTTTTTGAACATAACAAACTTTGTTTAATTTGAATAATGAAAGGAAAAACTGATACTAACTTTTCATAAGCGGGAACACACCATGCTTGTCATGCCACTTAAACTAATTCCTAATGAAAATTTTCATTTTTTCCAACTTTTACACGCCGAAAATAAATATCTCACCATATATTTACATTTGCTTAAAAGGGCATAAGCGAAATTCTCTCGAGCTAATGTAAAAAAAACAGTTAAAATTGGTCTGCCAAATGTTCATAAGTTTGACACGAATTAAGTTTTTTTGGAGGAAAAATAGCAGTAAAACGACAATGACACAAAATGTGTGAATAAAAAAGAAAACAAAACATGGGTAGACAACCGCCCAGTCAAAAAAATTCTTCGTTATGGGCCTGATTGGTCGCGAAGGAAAACATGACCGTATTCGCCGATTGAACAAAGCATTTAGAAGACTTCCTCGGCGTTATGGACTGCGTTTTCATAGGACAAAAAAATTCTGCTTCCGAAAACACATCTCAGATGACCGCTTGCATCCTGCGCCAGAGGGCCTACCAAAGCTCCCGAAAGATTTCTGGAACTGTTTTCAGAAGGTTTAGGACATTTATATGGATTGTTTTTAATTATTTTATAATCTGAACTCACCTTTAGAGCCAGGAGTGCTTTCTGTTCTTTTTTTATCGATTGGACCATCTGAACTCACCTTTGGAGTCAGGAGAGATTTTCGTTGCTTTACTTTTTACCAGACAAAATCTAAGCTCAATTTAAGAGCTAGTTGTGGCTTTCACTCACTCTTCAGTACTTCGTTGTATCAATTCAAGTCCACTTTGAGGACTGAGGATCGTTTTATAGTACGCGGTGTTCTATGGCAATAATTTTCAAGATAATTTATGTTAACTTTAAGAGCTACGGAGCATGATCCAACGATGTTTTTACAAAAGAAGGCGTTGGCGCTTTCGAGTTCAAGAGGGAGTGCACTAAAGAACCCAGTGATGATGATGATGCTGCAAAAAAAATTTGGATCTTCAAAAAATCAAAACTCAAAGTTTTCAAATTTTACATACTCGCTTCCCCACCACGCTGACGAATGAAAAATTGTTATCTCCCTTCAAACGACGCACTTAGAGGCGGCTATGCCTATGTAAGACTAGCCCAAACCTTCTAAACCGAAAACAGTTAAAGCGAAAAAAACTGATAAAATAAGAGAAATGATACAAAATTAGAGTCGGTTTACCGCTAGCACAAACAGAAAAATCGAATTGAGTGGGAGTTTATAATGCAGAAACGCTCAGTATATATATGTTGGCTATATACAGGGGCGGATCTAGGACTTTCTCGAGGGGGGGCGGATTTTCAAAAAAATTGGAAAAATAAATTTGTCGACCTTTTTTTAAGGTCGACCAAATTGATTTTCCGAGCTCTCCCATAACAGTACAAAAACTGTTTTGGCCATAAATTCTGCGCCGCAAGCAAAATTTTGAAAAAACAGGTAAAAAAAAAGGCGTTTTTAGGCACTTTTTGGAAAATTTTGACCAATGTCTTTTGACACTAATGATTCACTGATTTTGTAATGATTCACAGAAGTTGTTGACATAAAAATTATTACTCGATTTGATAACGCTTTCATTATCTTATACATTTCGGCAGGCTAGTAAGCGTTTACCTAACTAAAAGTATTAGACCGATTAAGTAAGTAAGACACGGCAAATTGACAGGTTTTCCTTTGAATTGCTCTTTGAGCACGGATTTCACCTGGCGCGCTATAATATGAAAGAGCAGGACTTTTTGCTGCGTTTATGAAAACTAACAATTTTAGAAGCGCATAGCTTTAATAAAACCCTCGATAGAAAAAAAATTGTCAGTTTCCAGCACAGGGCATTGAAATCTTCAATTTAGTTTTGCAAAAGTTTCTGTTAAAAATTAATATTCCGAAATCTGAATATTATCCATAAGTAAAAAATAAAAATTAAAAGCTTGATAAAAAATTATTTTTTTTGGAACAATTGAACCAATCCGATTTAGCTGAGAGATCGAAAACGAAACTAGCAGTTCAGATATTTACAAAGTACAAATTTAGTTCAAGTTTCATTTAAATCAGTTTGCAATAGTACCCACGACTATGGTTGACGAATGAACTTACTGTAGCGTTATTGATTACCCAGCCGATGCAAAATCTCAAAATCGACAACATTATCGGGAGTCAGGGCCATCTATCTTTCTTCACAAATTCGGTCCTGCTTAAATCCACATACTGAAGCACGTTCACAAAGGTTGAAAAAAATTAGCTTGTTTAAAAAATGGTGTTCTGAACGATACTTTCTATCAATCGGAAGCTGTTTCTACTTGGCTGAAGCTTATTACAGTTCCTCCTGATCCCTGTCTGAAAGTTACAAAGAGGGGTTTGGAAAATACGCAAAACCAACCTCACGAACACTGTTAACTCAGCCATAAGATAATTTTCAGGAAAAACTAAGTTTTATGAGATAACAAAAAAAACAAGAAATACTTCAGGAAACAAGGATGGTCGCTTGCTATACAAGTAGCACAATGTTCCGACCATATAAAAAAAAACTTAAAAAAAAAACATATTTTCAAATCTTTTTTTTTATTTCAAATTATTGACGTTTTTTTGTGCGTGATGAGACTTGCAAAAATACGACAAAAAGCATCTCTATAAGGTGCAATAAAAAACTTGAAATGAGCCTCGAATTATTTTTAAAAAAAGTCGTCAACCTCTTAGGTTCAAACTTGTGCTGTAACCTAGAGATTAACATACTCACACACTAACCACGGAAGCTTAACTGGTACCAA